TTGCCCTCAAAATTCAAGATTAGACTAAACCCACATTTGTAACTATTTGTTATTTTAAAAAAGCCAGGAAGATAAACACATTTCCAAAAAATCTCTTTCCACCCCTTTTCCTAAGCACCTACTGTTGAAGTTGTTTTAAAGCCAGTATTTTGAAATCTTGCTGTGGACAGGGCACTGTCTCCAGAGCATCCCAGCAGACAGACGCTCTGACAGCACCAGATGGCCCCAAGCTGCCAGACGAGCACGTCCCATTATTTTTACGAAGCAGGAGGCAAGGCACTAATTTTGGTAACCAACAATGTTTACAACACATACCAACAACCAAGCGTTTTACACCGACGCTGACAGTTAAAACATGCAGAAACAGCACAGACGTGGCTGCTTGTTTCCCACTGAAGACTAAAATCTCTCCAGCACTCAGAAGCTCAGCCTGAGAGGGCATAAAGAAGTCAGGGCTCAGCATCACCTGGCTTCAGTCAACAGCACTTTCACGGCAGGCTGACCTCGAGACGTCACATAGGCCTTCTCATGCCACGGACACGATACAGGAGATTAAGTACTTACTACACTACTGAAAAGACTTCTTTGCCCTGAAAACCTACACACTGTAATGCACTGAAGTACAACTTCGCAAGGTGCAAAGCAGGAATATTCACCTAACCTGCATTCAGCTTTCCACTTACACCCACACTCCAAGTGCCTACGCTGCTGGAGAGAAAAGAAACTTGAAAAACTGAAAGCTTAAAAAAAAAAAAAATCACAAAGCAGTTTGGGTTGGAAGGGACCTTAAAGATCATTCAGTTCCACCCCCCCTGCCATGGGCAGGGACACCTTCCACTAGACCAGGTTGCCCCAAGCCTCATCCAGCCTGGCCTTGGACACTTCCAGGGAGGGGGCATCCACAGCTTCTCTGGGCAACCTGTCCCAGTGCCTCCCCACCCTCTGCGGGAAGAACTTCTTCCTGATATCCAATCTAAACCTCCCCACTTTCCATTTAAACCCGTTCCCCCTTGTCCTGTCACTACAGGCCCTTGTAAAAAGTCCCCCCCAGCCTCCTTGTAGCCCCTTCAGGCACTGGAAGGTGCTATAAGGTCTCCCCGGAGGCTTCTCTTCTCCAGGCTGAACAAGCCCAAGTCTCTCAGCCTGTCCCCATGGCAGAGGGGCTCCAGCCCTCGGAGCATCTCCCTGGCCTCCTCTGGACTCACTCCAACCAGTCAATATCCTTCTAATATTGAGGGTTCCACAGGTGGACACAGAACTGCAGGTGGGGGGGTCTCACCAGTGCAAACTAGAGGGAGAGAATCACCTGCCTCGACCTGCTGGCCACGTTGCTCTGGATACAGCCCAGGATACAGTTGACTTTCTGGGCTGCCAGCACGCACAGCCAGCTCATGCTGAACTTCTGAACAGGAACAGAGACTGATCCCTGCTAGCATACATACAGCATTTCTGATGGTTTTAAATCAAACAGTTTGAAGGTGCAGATGGAGGGTCTCAGCTCCCGCAGCAAAAGGCATGCCAGGCTGCAGTTCCAGAGACCCCCAGGAAGCTCACTGTGGCAGGGTAGAAGATGGCCTCCTCCTCTTCCTCACCCTACCTCTGACACTGAGGGATAAGTCCTCTGAACTCACTAACAATCCTGTTCCAGTCACCCTCTTTCTTTTTCTTTTGCTGGTCCAGCTTTGAACTGGCCTGTGCCACAGCCCAGATGCTGGCACAGGGCAAGCTGTGAAATGCTCTTTACTCCCTGGTAACATCCTACCCTCTACAAGGAATTTCACCTTTTTATTCCCTCCTGATTAGCTCGGTGTGAATGCTTCCTGCGTATGAAGCCAAGAAAAATACACTGAAAGCCTTTATGGTTTCTGAGAAACATACCCAGGGCTCTGGAAAGCCCATTATTGACCCAGGTAAAAGCTGCTTCTAGCTTCTATATATGCAATGTTGTTATGCCTCTTGCAGAAACAAAGCACAGGACCAGGTAACCGCGAGAAGATACATTAATTGTATTAGTAGGCTAATGAAGGCAATTCATCTGCAAGCACGTTAGTATGATAGCTCACGAATTGGCCAAAAGCAATGGTCTATAAAACCACTTAGTATGAACTGTACTGAAATTTATCTAAAAAGCAAAGGTTGACATCAAATACACCGTTTAGTAGCAACGACTTGGATGACATTTGTACTTGAAGTAAGTAAGTTTATTAATTAAATACTTATGACAAATGCAGTAACAGGCTACGGCTTACAAATACAAGCGTGAATGGGGGGGGGGGGGAGTAGGGCAAGCGGTAAGGGGGGGGGGGGGGATTAGGGGATAAACAGACAACTGCCAGGGCCAGGTTAGATCAGAGCTCCACCCTTGACAACGCTCAATCTCTGGAACCCATCTCGCCCCTGTGATGGCTCAAGCTCTTGCCTCATTGAACTCAAACATGGTAACAGGTAGCAAAGCAAGTCAGAGGATATCGTAGCAGGGTGCTGAATTGTTGGCTCTCGGAGAGCACATCATTCCCACAAGGCCTGCAATAACTGTAACATCTCATAACGAAAAAGGACACCCTCTGGAAGACAGACCCAAGCGCAGGCCAGTGTAATGCTGGTTCCAGAGAGCTGGGATGACCCAGTTGATATGGAACCAGATTCTCCACACCACAGACCTACCATGCACAGGACATGCATCAGCACATGCACTCAAAGCAGGAATTTCAAGGACAGAGCAGCACAGACCACACAGCGGAAGAGAGCAAACGGCACTGAATCTGAAGTGCTGGAATATATAGAAAGACACCATCGCACAGGGAGCCGCGGTTGCCCAGCCTGTGGTTTCATAAGCTGCAGGAAAGCTGCTTAAAAAACCAACGTTCATCCTCCCACTACCCTCTAGGAACTCGTTCCCATCTTCGCATCACACCCCCTCCGTACTGGCACAGCTTTCCCCACGGCTGAGCGATTAACCAGATGGGGAAGACTGATTTGGCTGGGGGGAAAGAAATCCATTTTTGCAGGGTGGGCCGAGATCCCCATCTGCTTCACCGTGCCACCAAACATACCACTGCGAGCACATCCGGCAATGGCAAGAGGAGGTGGCTACGTCAGCTGGCACCATTGGCAAAGCCCTTCAAGGGGAAGCACAGAGCAAAGCTGGGTGTCACAACCAGGTTGAACCAGGTGCTGCTGAAAACACAGCATAAAGCAGAGCCGCTGAAGAGC